CAAAAATAAATAAACATTGAAAAAAAAAATTTTTTTAAAAAAAATAAAACAAAGAAACTAAATAGAGTAATTCAGTAATAAAAATCCATGCTGAGTTATACAAATATTGATTTTGAGAAAAACAACTGTGATCTAAAAATAGCTGACCTTCTCAGAGGTTCAGAATGTTTTTACTCATGCCTTTTCAAACTGCTTGGCTACAATCTGTAGCCACAGGAAACATGTTTTAAGTGACAATATCTTACATAAGTAATACCTCTGAGAAACTGACTCCTAGGTTTATCCTGCTACTGTTATAAGATAGATTCTGAAAACCCTTAGTAGTATAAATACATAGCAGATGGTACCTGATAGGCTAAAGTGAGCCCTCAGTTGTTATTGGAAACATAATGGTGATGTGGCAATGATACTTTTTATATTTTATATATATTTTAATACCATGAGATCCATGTGGGAAGATTTATAATTCAATGGTTATGTATTACATATAATTCACAAAGATACCCCAGAGTCAGGGAAGCTCAGGAAATAGAATTTTTGGCTTTTATTGCATTTAGAGAGAAGAAATACAGAACTATGAAGGCAAAAGTAGAAGACCGGGTGCTGCTCTCGTTCTGTCTTTTAACTTCCCCACATGCCCCAGTACTGCATCTTATCCAAAAGCTAAGCCTGAGTCCGCATTTTCTTCCTCACACCTCAAATGTTCCTTCCCTTTTACCACAGTGTCTCCCTATCAGCACCTAGCACAGTGAGTTTCACCCTTGGCTGCACACTGGGGTCACCTGAGTTGCTTCCAGCACTACTGGAGCTCAAGTCACACCTTGAAAAATTCTGATTTTAGTCTGGTCTGGACGTCAGGATATTTTAAAACTCCCCAAGTGATGCTAATGTGCAGCTAAGATGGGAACCACATCCTAGCATACTTTTGGAAAGGAAGAGCCAGGCAAAGTAATGAAATAAAACAAGATGAGACAATGAAAACCAAAATGGGGGCTCAATCCCACATGCCCAGACAAGCAGTAAGATCTGTCTGGTAGTACAGTTCCTAAAGCCGTTAGTTTCTCACTCTCCCCCTCCCCCATCCCAGTTGGCCCCAACGCCTGTCCTTTCTGTCCATCCCTTTCTACCCAGTCCTCCTGTCAACACGCTAGCTCACACCCTTTCACTTTGCGCCCATCCGAGTCTAGAAGCCCTTAATCAGTCTCCTGCATCCTTTTCTTGGCTCCATCTGATCCACTCTGCACACCACCACCAGATTAATCTGGTTGTCATTCCCCACCTCAAAACCTCCAGCCACCTCTTCCTGCCCATTATGTCTAAACTACTCAACTTGGTGGGAAAGGCCTTGCCTAGTCTGTTTCCAGATGTCTTTCCAGCTCTCGTTTCTCACTACTGAAAAGGAGCCTCACTCTGTTCTGATCAACTTGGATAGCCAAAGTTCCCCTAACATACTCTTTTTAAGACTTCGAAAACCAGGGGGGGTTGGATAGAAGTCAAATATTTTGCCCAGATCACACAGCTAGTGAGCAGTAGAATGTGGATTGCGTTCCAGATTTGGGCTGTATCCAGAGCTCTTAAACACCACCTTATTCTCTCTTTCTGGAATGTTGCCTTGCATATCTACCTGTGGAAATCCTACCTATGTTTTCACCTTCATTCCTAAAGCTTTCCTTGTTTTTCCTGTCTGAAGTGACTTTTCTCTCTTCTGATCTTCTATAATACTTTGTTGGCATATTTCACAAGCTATCATGACAAGAGAGTCATGTGATGAGCTTCCTGAGGTTCAAGACATTGTCTTCTGGCCTTGTTGGTCCTTTATAGCACCTAATAACACCAACCACACTGTTGGCACTCAGCAAAGATCTAGTGAAGAATGAGCTGCCGTGGGAAGCTTTCTTCACTCACCCAACCCAGCCACAATGAGAGGTCCTTATTAATTTCAGGAACAGAGATATCCTTTCCCCACCCTGCATATCCTGCCATCCTCCTCTTCTAGTACATCAATTCTTGTTCTGTGTCATGAGCCCTCCATCAACTGCCTATAAAACATTTTGCAACCTGGGAAGGGCTCTGTTGCCTGGTTACCACTGTAAGACTTAGGAAGATGCATATTGTGAAAATAGGAATCATAAAAAACTAGGCTGGTTTCATTCTGTGGAACCTGAAATGGAACCTGGAAAGCAAGGTTCATGTCACATTCCCCTTTTGGGCCTTCTTATCCATTGTCTCTGTTTTATGTGGAAAGAAAGAGGGGTGGGGCTCTTTATGTTGAAAGAAAGAGGGGTGGATATGAGCAAATGCCAAGAAGAGAAAAGGGGAATAACTGGTCAGACAGCTATTCTTTCTCAAGAAACAAACAGCATTCTAGGAAACTAAAAAACTTCCTATTTGCCAGAAATTATATAAGGAATATAGAACAGAAAAAAAGACATCAAGCCAAAAAAACAGTAGCCCCTTGTTTTGTCTTATCTTCTACATCTAGGAGATAGGGTTTCTACCCCTCTATGCTTCTCTCTACACTGGTCCAGATAGCACTCAACGTATGCTTCTCAGTGTGACTCAGAAAAGGCTACAAGTACAAGACAAAAACAACGCATTTTGTTTAGCATATGACTGCCTCGGGGATTCAGTAAAATTCAACAGTGAGTTTTAACCAAATATAATGAGAATAGGTGGAGGCACTTCCACCTGTTGCCCACCTCCCTGCTCAACCCTTTCCTTTGCAGCTCCCTATGGAAGGAGAAGTTGCTGAACTGCTGGGTGTCATTATTTTGGAATGCAATTGAGCCAAATAGGGAGACCAGGTTCAACTCCCTACAACCCAAGGAGGTTAAGGCAGGAGTGAGGACTGAGTTCCTCTCTCTCTGTCAGCAGCCTCCTTCTCACCCTACAGCAAATACTCTTTTTTTGATTGAAATGAATTCTATCAGAACTGGAAATTCTACCGACAATACTTCTGACAGCCTACTATGTGCAGGGCACACTGTGCTAGAGCTAGGGATAAAAAAAAAAAACAAGAAAACAAAACAAAAGCATTGGCCCCTACTCTTGAGCCATTCACAGTCTAATGGGAAAGGCAGAAACAATTTCCATATACTACAGTGTTATATAAGAGCTAAGCTCAGGTATCTATGGAAATTAAGAGTCTGTGAGAGCGAAACTGAAGTTGGGGAAAGATTCCTTGAAGAAATGAGGTCAGACTGAAGGCTGATGAATGTGTAGACGTTAGACAGGCCAAGAAGGATGGGAAAGGTCTCAACAGAGAGAACCACATGAGCACAGCCCAGAGACACACACAGCATCCTTCCTTCAAAGCAACAAAACCCCAAATCCTTACTCATCTGCATAACACATACCACTTTCAGGGATCAAAGGAAGAAAGGAAAGGAATTGGTTACATATAATTTAAGTAATAAACTTTGAAGAAGTGCATTAAAAAATAAAATCCATAGCTCTCTCTGAGGAAATATGAATAGTAATAAACAAAAACAAAAATAAATCTTTTAGAGTGGCTTTGGTTAAAGCAAACAACTCAACTTCCTAATCTCCACAGGCAGGATGAAATTGCAAGTGGCCTTCCAATGACAAAGCTGGTGTTGACCCCGAAATCACATGAGGCAGATGGAAGACAAGCTAAACAGCACACACATGGCCGTTGTGTAAATTCCTAACCTCACAGCAATTTAAGTAAGAGATGACATCATAAGCCCTATAAACCCATGGAGGGAAGGGCCTTTCCTGGCTGGAGACTGGACACAGCACTATCAAAGAGTTGGGTTTGGGCCTCATTCCCAGCTCTATCTTTGTCTGTAAAATGGTTCATCAATATGAACTCTGTCCCACACTCCACCCCTTGGAAGCCTGGGTATTGACTGACTCAACTCGATAAAGGTGTAAGGCTCGGGCTAGAGAAACAGCAGATGCCCAAAAACATCTTTGTCATATTCTCAGCTACAAGCACAGTTTATTCTCAGCCTTTGTTTTCTTGCTCTGTGCCTTAGATTCTCCATCTGAATATGGAGAATTCCTCCTTATTTAAGGAAGATAAACTAAATAACTCCTAATATGGCTTGACCTCCTTGAGAAATGGTCATGTGTCCCAGATGACAGGCCCTAGGAAGCTAGAATCACCTTATTCTACTGCAATAAACCTGAAGGGGCAGATGCAGCATTATCATGTTCAACCAATGTTTCTTTCACTCAACAGTGTTTACTAAGTACCTCCTATGTGTGAATCATAGTCAAAACTGACATTGTTTTCTAGCCTCTTCCCCTATCCCTTGTCTGTGAGGGATACATCAGAGAAACTGGCCACGCTACATACCAGCGTGGGCTGTACTCGGCAAAAATTCCATCTCAACCCAGCCCTGTCACATGGGAAATTCAGAATAAACTAAGTGACTGGGAAGCCAGCAAAACGCTGTGTTCAACTCACCTGGGGATGCTAGTCAGGTAGGTCATGACATTCAGGAAGTCTTCCTCTGGGATGTGTTTGAACCCCACAAACTCTGGAAAAGTGATGATGGGGGCACCGTCTTTCCCTCGGCCTCCTGCAACAAAAATGGGTGGTCAAGATGTTAACAAAATGTTTTCATGTCACATCTCTGCAGGTAAGCGACTTTGATTAATGTCAAGTGGGGAGATACATACTGGCCTTCCCCTTTTCCATCTGTATTATTTCAGACTAGAAAGTGTGAAGGCTGACATGGAACTATTTTGAACAAGTCTCCTCTTCAGGCTTGCTCAGGTGATATTGTGAGAATTCAATTTTTAAATCCTCTGAAGACAGTTAGTGTATAAAAGATAGTACTAATTTAATTACTTCAGCACAAGTGGAACAGTAAGTAATGTCAATACAAATATATAATATTGTTCTTAATTTTTGTAGTCAATAAATGTCAAAGTTAAAGCATGGTGGCCAAGTGAGTTTTGTTCTAAAGTCAGCCTGGTTCAAATTCTGCTCTGCCACTTAATTTCTATGTGACTTCATGCAAAGATAGTTCATCTAAATAGGATTTTCCATAAATATATATACATATATAATAGGAATAATATTTTTACCTACCTCTAAAGGTATTGTGAGATTAAGTGAGAACATATATGAAAAACACATTAGTACAGTGCTTATTACATATAAGTGCTTAATAAATAGTGACCATTATATGGTTATTATTATTACAAGGAGGCAATATTATATTTATTATTATTACAAGGAGGCAATAACCACCTGCCCTTCAATAACTTACCAACAGGGGTATAAAACATCACTGTAAGAATAAAAATGTAAAATTAATATTTAAATATTTAATCCAGGGGCACCTGGGTGGCTTAGTCGGTTAAGCTTCCGACTTCAGCTCAGGTCATGATCTCACTGTTTGTAAGTTCAAGCCCCTCATTGGGTTCTGTGCTGACAGCTCAGAGCCTGGAGCCTGCTTTGGATTCTGTGTCTCCCTCTCTCTCTGCCCCTCCCCCACTCATGCTCTGTCTCTCTCTCAAAACTGGATAAACATTTTTAAAAAGTTTTTATGTATTTAATCCATTGGAGCAGAGGCCACTAGATTAAATTAAATGGATTATATTTCCTCATCTCCTTGCAGCTAGATGCAGCTACATGACTGAGTTCTAGCCCTGTGGTTCTCAAATTGTGTCCCAGGTACCCAGGGAACCACGGTGAACTCGCAAGAACATCATTAATATTTTAAATGTTCGAGGGAAACAGCAATAGTTGGCATGTATCAGACAACATGCATGCTACTAGCTTGAGGGACTTCACAGTTTCAACATTAAATTGCACTACATTCTTTTGAAAGTCATTGCATCCTTGTGAAGTTGGGGTTTTGGTGACTGCTGAGATAAAAAGCAAGCGCAGTATGAAAATTAATATAGAACAGGAAATAAAGGTGGTGATGTCCAGTCTCATTCCGAGATTCAAGATTATTGTAGTTACCCATGAATGAAATGTAAACATTACTTTTTCTTTCAATTTACATGTATTATTTTTTCAAACAGCTACCAAACTGTTAGGACATACAGACTTACTAAGTGATTTTAACTGTTAGGTATTGCTTTTGGCCAAGAAAGGCTGTGAAAATACTAAGATAGACTGAGATATATATCTGAGACTGAAAAACTAAGCACCAAGAACTGAGTAAATTGGGGAATCTATGCCCTCCCTGACGGGATAGGAGCTGAGTTGCTGAGAGCACTTCCAGGTTATGTCTATGGAGGGAAACCACTTTAAGAAAAATAATGGCTCCCAAGAGAAGCCAACTACAAATGACTGCATGTATTTCACATATGTAATGAAAGAGGTAGGGCAGGGTGTGGTTTAATGACAATTGTGTGATTAAGAAGGGTGTGGGATCAATGAAGAAATTACAGAAAAGGGCAACTCAGAGAAGCAAATGCAGGTCATGTCTTGTCAATGATGTTATCCTAAGGAAGGAGGGACCTGGCCTACCATCATGAGAATCTAGGCCAGTCTACCAGATGACAGTACCATTAAGGTTATCCAATCCACTCTGCTGCTCTGAGTCCATACCTGATAAGCATCTTCTGATTATACTCTGACTTTCCATGTAAATTTCTTCCAAGGCAAAAAATGTGCTGTCAAGCACATCATGAAAAAATTTTCATCATGAAAAGATTAAATCAGTCTTGTAGTTTTCTATACCAGTCTCTTCTAGGTATTGTTCACGTAGGGTTAGGCTCTCAGAGACCAATCGCAATGGAATGAAACTGTGTGAGACTTGTCTGGATGATTAGACATTCTTCTCCAGGAAGTAGCTCCTTAATAATTCTACGCGTTTATTTTAAATTTAAAAAAAACAGTTAACTGCATATTAAATGTTTGTCAAACTTTGACTTGGAGATTAAGATGCCTCATCATGCTGACTGAAAACAACTTAAATCAGGATACTATCAGCTTTCACCTCATATTTTTCCTCTTTGCAGTCATACAGCCATAGGAAGTCTTAGATGAATGCAAATTAAGAGAATTTACATCTCCAGTAAGGCTAAATTTAAATGCATTATAACACTGTACTAATTGCATAGCCAATATTTGCCAAGAAAATGGCTAAAACATTTTAAGGAATCAAAACACCCTAAAAATATTCATTAGGGCATGATTATACTATTTAATGATTGTCTTTTACTGTTGATTATAAAATAAAGCTCTTCACACCTAAATGGAGAAAGATAGGTGGAGTGTTCTTGTATCTTGGTTTATACCAATACTGAACACCAGAGAGGCCCAAGGTTGACTGGGGACACCACCTGCGGTTGAACATTAAACGTGACAGACAGAAGCACCAAGGAAACAAAGCTAAGCCTCCAGACAGCCATTGACCACCCACACCACGGCATTTGGTGCCACCTTGTGAGAAAATGTGGAAATGCAAAAGGATGAAAGCGTACCAAAGAAGCCCTATTCAAGGAAAATAAAGAACACCAAATTACTTGGAAGTAAAATGGTGACTTAAATAAAATAAATTTCAGTACTCCTGGCATAACTTTTACCTGTTCACTAAATGGAAGAGGACTAGGTTTACTGCAGAAAACAGTAGTGAGTACTTGAGAGACATAAAATTGTTCCTATGAGGGTCTGAGTGTTGGCTGGCACGGAGACTTCTGTCCTACTATAGAGGAGAATTTGGAATGCTAGCAAATCCTATAGAAGATGGTGAAGACCAACAATGAAAGAGAGAGTGAGGCAGTTAATGCTATTTGCCTTCCAATATCCATTTTCCTTTTCTCTCCCTGCCAAAAAAAAAAATTTCAGCTGGGAAAATGGCAATACCATTTCCTGGGAGGCACTTTAGAGAACTCAGGGCCTGGGATACCAAATCATCTGTCCTACATAATATTGTCCCACATCCTGTGCGATTTCTGAATATCTTAATAGAAACTCTATGTAAGTGAAAAATCCATTTATAGTGATATTTATAGTGATCAGATCCTATAAACCCAGTTTTATACATAATAATAGAGGGTTTTTTAATATTTTTCCATTTTATTGAGACATAACTGACACAATTAACAATGTATTAGTTTAAGGTATGCATATAATGATTTGACATATGTATACATTATAAAATGGTGACCACAAAAAGTTTAGCTAATACCCATCACCTCACAAATCACCTTACAATTTTTTTTCTTCAGATCTATTCTCTTGGCATTTTTCAAATACACTATACAGTATTAACTATAGTCACCATGCTGTACATTACATCCCCAGAACTTAGTTATCTTATAACTGAAAGTGTGTACTTTTTTTTTTTTAATTTTTGTTTTCAACGTTTATTTATTTTTTTTGGGACAGAGAGAGACAGAGCATGAACGGGGGAGGGGCACAGAGAGAGGGAGACACAGAATCGGAAACAGGCTCCAGGCTCTGAGCCATCAGCCCAGAGCCTGAGGCGGGGCTCGAACTCCCGGACCGCGAGATCGTGACCTGGCTGAAGTCGGACGCTTAACCGACTGCGCCACTCAGGCGCCCCGAAAGTGTGTACTTTTGACCACTTTCCTCCATTTTCCTCACCCCCACCCCCACCTCTGGCAACCACCATTTTTTTTCTCTGTTTCTGTGAGTTCACTTTTTTAAGATTCCACCTACAAGTAACATCATAAAGTATTTGCCTTTCCTTATCTGACTTATTTCACTTAGCATAATGCCCTCAAGGTCCACCCATGTTGTCACAAATAAGAAGTTATTTTTATATGGTTTTAATATATACTAAATTTTTCAAGAATGCAACTACCCTACACATTCAAGGAAGTTAATACCTACTTTGTTCAGAATGTATCAACTTTGTTCAGAACTGTATCAACCATTATTTACCCTTTCAGAAAACCATTACAGTAAGGCTACTCGGGGTGTCTGATCACCTATACCACACCCCAGCATTTACAGCTATCACATTCATGGTAACCAAGCACCTGACTACTTTATTATTTTTTTCTAGTATAGCTAGAAATACATATTGAAATACATATTATTTTACTATGTTTATTTTCCTTTTATTTCTCCTTTATTGCTCTCCTTTACATTTTCTTTTTTTCTTTTTTTTTTTCTGTATATACATAAACAGGGGGTAGCTATTCACCCTCTGTGAGCACACAACTAAACTACACTGCTAGCTTCCCATGCTATCAAATATATCTATGTAAGCGATCCAGGTTCAAGTCAATGGTGTATGGTGTGTGCTGTTGTTGAGCCGAGGCTTTTAAGAAGCAGTATGCTCTCTTTTCCCTGTCTGCTTTCTGGATACAAATCATGAGACAGCCATAAAATGGATAATAGTAATATAAGCCACAAAGTGAAAGGAATCTTCATGATGAAGATGGAGAGAAATCATCTGCTGACCATGAACATACATGTTGAACTGCTCCAAGAGAAATAACTAAATTTCTATTGTGTTTGTTTGAACTACTATGCACCTTGGAGTCTATTTAGTATAGCTGTTCAGTCCACCCTAACTAAACACAGGTCATGGTATCCACAAATTTCAACTCAGGATAGTGGGGGCAATACAAATCATTTGTTATAAAAAGAAGGACTGGGACCAACATGATTGAGAACCATTTCTGTAGACTACACTGCTCAATACAATAGCCACTAGACATATGTGGTCGTTGAGCACTTGAAATATGACCAGCCCAAATTGAGATGAACTGTAAGCGTTGAAATACAAACTAGATTTCCAAGACAGTACAAAAAAATGTAAAGCATCTCAACAATAATTTTGAATATTGATGACATGTTGGAATAATATTTTAGATATATTGGGTTAAATAAAAATACTATGAGAATTAATTTCCTTTTTGCTTTTTTAATATGGCTACTAGAAATTTTAAAAACACATATGTGAGTCACATTATGTTTCTATTAAAAAATACTGCCCCCTTGGGGCGCCTGGGTGGCGCAGTCGGTTAAGCGTCCCGACTTCAGCCAGGACACGATCTCGCGGTCCGTGAGTTCGAGCCCCGCGTCAGGCTCTGGGCTGATGGCTCAGAGCCTGGATCCTGTTTCCGATTCTGTGTGTCTCCCTCTCTCTCTGCCCCTCCCCCGTTCGTGCTCTGTCTCTCTCTGTCCCAAAAATAAATAAAAAATGTTGAAAAAA